TCACGGCGGGGCTTCCGCTCCTGGCAACGCGGCCGATTTTCGCACAGGGGCATGGTGGACAGGGCGGCCTCAGCATGGGGAACTATGTGCAGGTCAATGGTGGATCGATGAGTGGGGGACACGGAATCGGTGGTCAGGGCGACAGCGGTGTCCCCGGTATTGGTGAACAGGGAAACGGTGGATATGGCAACGCTGGGCACGGAAACGGTGGACAAGGTAACACTGGACATGGAGATGTTGAACAGGGAAACAACGTGCAGGACAACCATGGACAAAGCAACCAAGGACAAGGCGACCTTGGACTGGGCCACGGTGGACAAGGCAACAGCGGTCAAGGTCAAGGTGGCTATGGAGTTGGTTTGCAGGGCAATGGTGGACAGGCGACCAACGAACAAGGCAACGGTGGGCAAGGCAGCGCCAGTCATGGAAATGGCGGACAGGGCAGTAGTGGTCAGGGCGCTGGCGGTCAAGGCACGACGATCACGGACACAGTGGCCACGGACACAGTGGTCAAGGACACAGTGGCCACGGACACAGTGGTCAAGGACACAGTGGACAGGGAGGTGGTGGCCAGGGACATAGTGAAGAAGGATATGGTGAAGTGGGATACAGTGGATATGAGCGCGATGACCAGACATTCATCGGACATGGTTACATCGATCAGGCACAAAATGGTCATGAGCAGAGTGGTCAGGGACACAGTGCACAGGGATACAGCGGGCAGGGACATAATGGCCAGGGAAACACTGGACACATGGAGATTGGCCTAGAGCAAGGCGACCAAGGGTACAGTGGACATGATACGGTGGCCAGGGACATATTGGACAGATGCACAGTAGTCTGCAGCAAGGTGTTCAGGGACACAGTGAACAGATGCACAGCAGTCTGCAGCAAGGTGTTCAGGGACACAGCGAACAGGCATACAGTAGTCTGGAGCAAGGTGGTGGGGGACACAGTGCACAGACGCATAGTAGTCTGGAGCAAGGTGTGGGGACACAGTGCACAGACGCACAGTAGTCTGGAGCAAGGTAGCCAGGAACACAGTGCACAGACGCACAGTAGTCTGGAGCAAGGTAGCCAGGAACACATGCACAGACGTACAGTAGTCTGGAGCAAAGTGGTCAGGAACATAGCTCACAGACGTACAGTAGTCTGGAGCAAAGTGGTCAGGAACATAGCTCACAGACGTACAGTAGTCTGGAGCAAGGTGACCAGGGGCACAGTGAACAGGGATACGGTGGCCAGGAACACAGCAGCCAGGGCACAGTGGACAAATGCAGACTGGTCTGGAGCAAGGTGGCAGGGGCACGGTGGCCAGGGACACAGTGACCAGGGACACGGTGGCCAGGGTACAGTGACCAGGGACACGGTGGCCAGGGGCACAGTGGCCAAGGGTACAGTGACCAGGGACACAGTGACCAGGGACACAATGGTCAGGGACACACATTTACCAGGGACACAGTGAACAGGGACACAGTGGCCAGGGGTACAGTGACCAGGGACACAGTGACGAGGGGCACAGTGACCAGGGACACAGTGGCCAGGGACACAGTGGCCAGGGAAGCAGTGACCAGGGGCACAGTGGCCAGGGACACAGTGACTGGGACACAGTGGCCAGGGACACAGTGGCCAGGCCACAGTGGCCAGGGTACAGTGACCAGCAGCTCAGCGGGCCGAGTCATAGTGATCAGGGTGCGAGCAGCCACGGCTACGGCAGCCTCGTACAGGTGTCCGTCTCGCCCGGCTCTGACCCACCGTCGGCCCCTCCAGGCACGGTCAGGAAGCCACCCTGGTGCCGCACGCGCCTTACGGAGAGCCCCGACTGCGACCGAGTCTACCTCAGCCGCGCAACACACCGCCACCCTCTCGCCAGAGGATCAGGAGATGTTGGCTCTCCTGGAGCGGCTCCTGCGGGAGGACAGGACGCGCGGGCACAGTGGCCAGGCATACGGCAGCCAAGAGAATCATCGACACGAGGGGCTGGAGCGCGACGGCCAGGGACACAACAGTCAAGG